CTGCGTGGGTCCAAACAAGGGGAACTAGCGCCAGGGGCAGCTTTGAGAGTCTCATCTAACATGATTCCTGCTGATGTGCATAGGGAAATGCTTCCAAGCCAAACTGGGTCTCCTGATCTGATCACATTTTTTAAGTACCTTTATGTTCTGGACTAGTTAAGGAAAATGCAGCCCTGGAATTTCATCCATGCCAAATCAGATATGAAATAAATACCCTTTGGGCCCTTTTCTCACTTTCTCTGCCATCTCAGGCTGATGACTCCAGGCTGAGCTCTATAAATATCTTCTCGAGTTCATCATCCCTCACTCTACCTTCACTGCCCTTTGAGGGGATAAGATCTTTTATATACATAAGGAAAGATGTTGTCCTGCAATGACCCTAAAATGTTCCAGCTTTCCAAAGGGCTGTGAGTCATTCCATGATAATGTCATATAACTGAATAATTATATGTATTTTGGATATGCATATGACTGCTTTGGTAATAGAAGTATGGATGATTCATTGTTTAGCTGAAACATTTAATAACTTAAAGTCATTATTAGCAAATTATTGGCCAAAAATTCTGTGCTGTCCCACTATACCTCGTGTATATGATGATAACGAAGATGATGGAGACTATCCTGGCTAACACTGTGAAACCCCACCTCTACTAAAAATACACACAAAAGAATTAGCCAGGCGTGGTGGTGAGTGTCTGTAGTCCTAGCTACTTGAGAGGCTGAGGCAGGAGAATGGCGTGACCCTGGGAGGCAGAGCTTGCAGTGAGCTTAGATAGCGCCACTGCACTCCAGCCTGGCTGGTGAGTGATTTTTTTTTTCTCAAAAAAAAAAAAAAAAAAAAAAAAGAGTAGTTTATAAACAAAGAGTGGCAACTGGAAACACAATCAACCCTGTAATGGCAGTAACAAAGAACTTTCATCAAAACTTGGAGAATTCCAACTCTTTGCCCATATGCCTACATACTAGGAACTTTGCAAAATTACTGAACCTTGCATCAAAGTGCAAATTCTTAACAGAACACTCATTCACAGGCCTCAAAATCTTCAGTAACATCTTGTGTTTAGTTTATGAATAAACAAACTTTAATAAACTTTAAAAAGTTGTAGGACTAGATTAAGCTATCTTTAGTTTTATATTAAAATCAAAATTCTATGTAATTTTATGGCATTTTCCTAGAAGCATAAAATGAAGATATGCATTTTGCTTATCAAAATCAGTTTGTGGCCACCATGAGCCAAAGGTCTCTCTTTAGAGAATCAGCAAGACAGACACACTGAGTTCACAGCCAGTGCTAAGTTCACAGCCAGTGATGAGGTCACAGCCAGTGCTGAGTTCACAGCCAGTGCTGAGCTCACATTCTGGCACACGGGCGACTGCTTCAGTAAACTGGAGCTTTCCCCACTTTGTGTGTTTAAAGCTTAGGTCAAGGGATGGAGACTCCCAGAAGCCTCTATGGCTGTCCACCTCTTCTCTTCCTCAGTCTCCAATATTTTGCAACGTCTAGTATGTTTAAGATCCTTTCTGGGAAACAAAACAAATCAATAAGGCATTTTTCTGCCAACAAGTTATGGACTGCAGTGGCTGTTTCCCACATACACGGTTTATCTTCTTAGAACTAACATCTCCAAGCGAATAAGCCCCTCTGCAAATGCTTTAGGGTATTTTCATTCTACTCTCCCCCCATCGCTGAACTTTTTTAAAGGAAGAGTTTGGAATTGAAACAGTTAAGTCACAGAGTAGGCAAAAGCAATCATTAAAGTTTACTTTCCCATTATTAAAAAAGGAAGCAAGATTCCCCAGGGCTCCTGTGCTCTCAGCCTCAGAAATCTAAGCATCAGCATATAAACCTTCCAGGGAACAACACTAAGTAGATTAAGCTGCCACATCAACTGTGATTGATTTAAAATATTTAGGACTCTGTTATCACATCAACACAATTTCATGTAAATGCCTTGAAGAAAAAAGTCCTTTCAATGGATTTGCTAAAGCAAAAGCTTAACGTGAATGGCAAAGCAATGAACTTTTTATTTTATTAAGAAGATACTAAAAAAGATATTTTAAATCTCCTGATTATGGATTTTTTAGGGAGATTAGTCCCAGACAATGCCTAGGCTCTTGTAGCCAAAATTCTAGGGGCCCTTTCTCTTAGGGGCGGGGGACACACCTTGGGGTCATTATTATTTGCAATGATCTCTCTTGAATTTTCAGGTCAGATAATTTCTGTTCTGTGGCAGAATGACCACCTGGGTAACATTGCCTTGATACCTATGCCTTTTTTTTTTTTTTTTTTCTTTTTTAAACACCTTTTTTTCCTTTGTGATAAAAATAGTACTAACAAATAATTACAATAATAGTAATAACTACATAATTATTATTTTTATTGTTATAAGAAACAACAGCAGCAACTGTCCCTTGCTGACCATGTCATATGCTGCACGCATTCCACTCAGTCTCACACAGTCCTCAGAAAGTGTAGTGTTTGGGACATTCTTCCCATGTACAGATGAGCATGTTGAGGTCCATGGAGGGGAAGACCCTTGTCATGTCCCATGACTGGGCCAGGTCTCCACCCTAGGTCCCTGCAGCTCCACAGCCTTACTTTGAACCACTCATGTTCTGATCTCCAGCCCCTGGGTTCTCTTCCCTATCCAGATCTCGAGCCGATCTTATACCCAAGCAAAAGAGCTGTTAGTGGGATCTCAGATGTCAGGGAGCAAACAGGATCTGGTTTTCTAGTTGCTCCTAGGTATAAGGCCTTTTTCTCCACACAAGGGCAGCATTCAAGGGGCTTTAGAGTCCTCATTGTCAATAGTTTACTGAGTCCAGGGGGCAGGCAAGCCCCAGAGGCTCAGGGATTGCACCCCAGGCAGAGGTGCAGCTCCTCCAGAGTTTCCCTTTGTGCTGCTGCCTGTGCCTCTTCGGTGGAGCTGGGGACATCTTGGGACAAACCATTTCTAGGGCTGTTTCTGCACAGAAAAGGCATAACTACAGCAGACTGTGTCCCTTCTTTCATTCCAGTGGCTTTTTCAGGTGTGGCCAAGGACTCATGTGACAATAAAATCTCAGGGTTGATTCTCCTGGGGCTCAGAAGGAAACTGGACTCTTCAGCATGCTCTGAGCACGGGCAGCCACATCAGAATAAACATGGGGCTTCGAAGGTGACCACACAGGGGAGGCCAGCCTCATGTGGATGCTTGGGTTCCAGTATGTCTATTAGAGATGGGCTGCTTAGCCCCCAGGACCGTGGCAGTCTCCGGAAGACAGACTTAGGGAGAAGGCCCTTGGAAAGGGATTTGAAGGAATATTCTAGACTGATGAAAATGGTCTATATCTTGACTGGGGCTATATAGCATATACATTTGCCAAACTCATCAAACTGTCCTTATGATGTGCGTTTTATTGTATACAAATTATACTTCCATTTACAAAAATTAAAAATCAAGTCATAGAACTTTATGGCTTCAGTGAAATTATGCTAGGAGGTAACACTAAGCTTGCATATCCATCTGCTTTATAATTTATGACGCATAAAGTCACTAAAATGCAGAATACCAGCCTGAGACATGCACAGTACTGGGAGAAAGTGATACTGGCTTGAGAAAGCACCCAGAATTTCCCTGACCCTCCCTTGACCCAGCCTAGCAGGGTGAGTTATTGCTGTGACCACATGGTCTCAGGCCAGGAGGCTGAGAAGAACTTGGGTTTTTCATCAGCCCCATGCTGGAAAGCATATGCTTACTCTAGCCACATGTGGAATTCTAAAAAGGTAATTATCCTGAACTTGAACAATGACTTTCCCCAATAAATATTCCTTACCCTTGTGTAAACTTGGGCCAATTATTTAACCTCACCATGCCTCATCTGTGAAATAGAACCTTGCTATGAACTGAGTGACTGTGTCCCCCCAAATTCGTATGTTGAAACCCAAATCCCCAAGGTGATGGGGTTAGGAGGTGGCACTTTTGTAAGGTGATGAGGTCATGAGGGTTTTGCCCCTATGAATGGGATTCATGCCCTTATAAAGAGATAAAGAAATAAAAAAGATTCGTGCCCTTATAAAGAGATAAAACGACCAGAGCTCTCTCTACTCTGCCAGGTGAGGACATAGGAAGACAGCCATGTGCAAGTGAGGAAGAGAGCCCTCACCAGACACCGGGTCTGCCAGCACCCTGATCTTGGACTTCCCAGGCTCCAGAGCTGTGAGAAATACATATTCATTGTTTAAGCTACCTTGTCTGTGGAATCTTGTTACATCTTCTTACAGCAGCCTGAACAAACTAAGACAGAGGGTGGAATGAAGTAACAGAAAACAAAGTGCTTCCAGCAGTGCCTGGCAGCTAATAGCAATCAATACCTGGTTGTTATTGTTATGATGAAGGGTCATGAGCATGGAGACAGGTTATCAAAGTTAAGAAGAGAGATTCCCCCTCTGATTTCCAGTTATTTAATAATGTATACAGCATGACTCTTCTGGCGCAAAAGGCAAACCAGAGGTAGAAAATGTCCAGCAAGATGGAGGCGCTCTCAGCAGCAAGTCACTCTGATGATTTATTTGGAAAGATGTAACTCATTCCTTCTTTTCCAACTGTCCCCTTCCCAAGGCAAATGAGGCACTTATGTCTTGGAGTGGGGTAGACACACGTGCATTTGCAGTCCCTGAGCGTTCCTGGAAGTCACCTCCTGATATAATAAATCTCCCATTAATGGGCCTCCTGCCCTTCAGGGATGAATTGCAGGGCCCTGCAAAGTCCAAAGCCAGCACACCTGCCCCAGGTGAGTGCGCAATACTGCAGGCCCCTGACAACAGCCTGATGCCGTTCCCTGATGCTGATCACAGTGATCCTAAAAGCTCCAACAAAATCTTTTAAATTTTGCAGAACCACAAGAAACTGGAGTTTAATTTACAGTTAAAGTCAAAGAAAAAAGAAAAAGAACCCAACTCCAATGTAGCAGCAGCAGCAACCACAAATCTTGCTTTTTTCTCTCCTTGCGCATCTTACCTTCATACAGCCAGTCACTGAGGCCGTTGTAAATCACACCTTCCTTCCCAGTGGAGACCACGCGGATGGCCTGTTTCCCAACATGTGCACAGTAGTAGATATTGTTTTCAAAAATAAATATCTAATTTGAAAAGAGAAAAAAAGCATACTATCAAGCAAGGAAGTGGTTATAAATAGGTTGTTCTTAAAAAATCTGAAATCATCAACCCGGTTTTCATTTTCCTTTTGTACTTATTAGATAGAACAAAGGCAGTCTCAAAATTCTTAGAGGTCTACCCACCTCCAACAGAATATATCTGTAAGGATTAATCAGAGGCTGAAATTCCACATTCTTCACCCAATGTTATCCCTTACCGTGACTGGACAATTTGCAGTCTGATACTTCTAGCTACTTAAAATCTGATATGGTTTGGATTTGGGTCCCCATCCAAATCTCATGTCGAATTATAATCCCCAATGTTGGAGGCCGAGCCTGGTAGGAGGTGACTGGATCATGGGGGTAGATTTCTCCCTTGCTGTTCTCATGATAGTGAGAGAGTTCTCATGAGATATGGTTGTTTAAAAGTGTGTAGCCCCTCCCCTTTTGCTCTTTTCCTCCTTCTCCAGTTATGTAAGTTGTGCCTGCTTCCCTTCACCTTCTGCCATGATTGAAAGTTTCCTGAGGCCTCCCCAGTCCTGCTTTCTGTATAGCCTGCAGAATCATGAGTCAATTAAACCTCTTTTTAAAATAAATTACCCAGTCTCAGGTAGGTCTTTATAGCAATGTGACAACAAACTACTACAAAAAATTGATACTGAGAATGGGACATTCTTACAAAGATACCTGAAAATGTGGAAGTGACTCTGGAACTTGGTAATAGGCAGAGGTTGGAACAGTTTGGAGGACTCAGAAGAAGACAGAAAGATGAGGGAAAATTTGAAACTTCCTAGAGAATTGTTGGGTGGTTGTGACCAAAATGATGATAGTAATATAGACATTGAAGTCCAGGCTGAGGCAGTAAGAGGAGATAAGGAACTTACTAAGAATGGCAGCCAAGGTCACTTTTGTTATGCATGAGCAAATAGATGATTGGAAACTGGAATTTATATTTAAAAAGGGAAGCCAAGCATAAAAGTTTGGAAAACTTGCAGCCTGACTATGTGGTAGAAAAGAAAAAATCGTTTTCTAGGGAGGAATTCAAGCCAGCTACAGAAATTTGCATAAATAAAAAGGAACCACGTGTTAATCACCAAGACAATAGGGAAAATCCTTCCAAGGCATTTCAGAGACCTTTGAGGCAGCCCCTCCCATCACAGGCCTGGAGGCTTAGGAGGAAACAATGGTTTCATGGGCCAGGCTCAGGGCCCCACTTCTCTGTGCAGCCTTGGTGCCCTGCATTGTGCCCACACCAGCTCCAGCCATGGCTAAAAGCGGCCAAAGTACAGCTCAGGCTGTTGCTTCAGAGGGTGCAAGCCCCAAGCCTTGGTAGCTTCCACTTGGGTTAAGCATATGTGTGTGCAGAGTGTGAGAGTTGAGGTTTGGGAGCCTCCACCCAGATTTCAGGATGTATGAAATGCCTGAATGTCCAGGTAGAAGTCTGTTTCGAGGTGAAACCCTCATGGAGATCCTCTACTGGGGCAGTGTAGAGGGGAAACGTAGGGTTGGAGTCTTCACACAAGAGACCCCACTGGGGCACTGCCTAGTGGAGCTGTGAGAAGAGGATCACTGTATTCCAGACCCTAGAATGGTAGATCCACTGACAGCTTGCAGCATGCATCTGTAAAAGCCCCAGGCACTCAATGTCACCCTGTGAAAGCAGCCAAGGAAGCTGAACCCTGCAGAGCTACAGGGCAGAGTGGCCCAAGACCATGGGAGCCCACTGTTGTATCAGTGTGCACTGGATATGAGTCATGGAGTAAACGGAGATCATTTTGGAGCTTTAGGATCTAATGACTGCCATGCTGGGTTTCAGACTTGCATGTGGCCTGCAACTCCTTTGTTTTGGCCAATTTCTCCCATTTGGAATGGGAGTATTTACCCAATGCCTGTGTCCCCATTGTATTTTGGAAGTAACTATGTTGCTTTTGATTTTACAGGCTTATAGGCAGAAAAAACTTGCCTTGCCTCAGATGAGACTTTGGACTTGGACTTTTGGGTTAATGCTGGAATGAGTTAAGACTTTGGGGGATTGCTGGGAAGGCATGATTGTATTTTGAAATGTCAGAAGGACATGAGATCTGGGAGGGGAAAGGAGTGGAATGATATGGTTTGGATGTGTGTCCCCACCCAAATCTCATGTCAAATTGTAATCCCCAATATTGGAGGTGGGGCCTGGTGGGAGGTGACTGGATCATGGGGGTAGATTTCCCCCTTGCTCTTCTCATGATAGTGAGTGAATTCTTATGAGATCTGGCTGTTTAAAAGTGTATAGCACCTCCCCCTTCACTCTCTTTCTCTTGCTCCCCCATGTAAGATGTGCCTGCTTCCCCTCTACAATGATTAAAAGTTTTCTGAGGCCTCTCCAGCCATGCTTCCTGTAAAGCAGAACAGTGTGTCAATTAAACCTCTTTTCTTTATAAATTATCCAGTCTCGGGTAGTTCTTTATAGCAATGTAAGAATGGACTAATACAATATCAAATTGGATTACTTTTGCAATCCAATTTTTCCTACCAATTAAGATTGATGGGCTGGGACACTGTAGATCTGGGTTTTATTCATTCAACAACATTCATTAAAAATTATGCAGTGAGCATCTACTCTGCAGTCAGGGGGGATCACAGTGGTAAATAGGCAAGAACTCCAATGTGCCTTTATTCTACTTACAATCTGGAAAGAGGTCAGACTCTAAGCAGGACAATGGTCTGATAGGGAAAAACGTGGAGTTCTGCAAATACAAAACAGAGCTGCCTAACTCAGGCAAAGGGCAGGCAAGGCTTTCCTCAGAATGTTATTGAAAAAAATGTACTATTGTGATAAAATATACATTACGTACAATTTGCCATTTTAACCATTTTAAGTGTCCAGTTCAGTGAATTAAGTATGCTCATATTTTTGTGCAACCACCACCACCATCCATCTCCAGAACCTTTCCCTCTTCCCAGACTGAAACTCTGTCCCCGTTAAATACTGTTGTAACTCCCCATCCCTCCAGCCCCTGGCACCCCTACTCTACTTCCTGTCTCTAGGAGTCTGACAACTCCAGGGACATCACACAAGTGGAATCATGCAGGAGGGGCAAGAAAGGATACTCAGGAGGCCAGGAGCCAGCTCCTGGAGGGTCTGGAAGTCACACTCTGGTGTCCCAAAGGCAATGGGAAGCTCCTGCCAGAGGTGTGAGTTGGAAGCAACATGTTTACACTCGAGTCTCCTGAAGATGAGTATGGAGGCAGATGGTGTGGCGAAGAGAAGGGAGCCAGGCTCCAAATGGGAGGAGCCTGTTGCTATCATCTGAGGAGCACTAACCATGGAGATGGAGGAGGATCAGCCATTGAGACTATGAGAAGAACCCATTGACCATGGGAAGTGACCTGAGGTCTGGGGTGAAGTTTTGGGATGAGGCAAAGCTGCTCTCAAACTGATCTCTTGGGCCACTGGGTGATAGAGAACCATCTGCAGAGTTGGGGTACACTGGAAGATATTATAATTCTGACCTTGGGCAAGTCACGCCCTCTCTGGAGATGAGGGGGAAATGGTTTATGTTGGTGGTCTTCAGATTTTGATGCATATTACACGGCCTGGGGAGCATTTGAAAAACCTAATGCACAATCCACCAGTCCAACCCAAAGTCAGAATCTCTAGGAATGGAATCCAGGCATCAGTGTTTTTAAGAAACATCCCAGGTGATTACAATATGCAGCTAAATTTGAGAACCTGTGGCCCAGGAACCACCTCATGTCTCCTGAAGCTCCTAAGCTATAAATTGTCCTACACAAGGTATCCTGTGGTGCATGGATCAATTCTGCCCTGGGTTTTCTGTCTCTAAACTCTCTGCCCACATCCCTATGGGTACCTCACAACCTGATGCAGCCCAGACTGCAAATACCCAGTGTCTATAGAAATCGGGCATGCAGACCAAGAGTGGGGATCAAACCAGCTGTTTTCTTTTAAGAATTCTAGGAAAAATATTGCAGTGTCATTTAAGAGACTATGGAGAGAAGGTATTTTGCATAATATAGGAAATGGCATGAATATGAAATGTTTTTCACTGAAAATACGAAAAAGGCAGTTTCCCCAGATTGTTCCCACGGAGGGATGGATCTGAAAGCAGCGGCAAGTATTCGTTTTCTGCTCAGCCCTCCTGGCTCTTCAAGGATTCACTTCAGCCAGAAATGAGTTGGAAAACTTCCAGAAACAAGTATACATCCTCATTTAATTTCAGCAGCTGTTCTTATGAGTTTGCCTAAGGGTAAGATGTATTACTAAGTTTTAGCTTTTTTTTTTTTTTTTAAAATAAATGTGTTGTAAGCCTACAATGGATTTTTGAATCAAATCAGACCATAGCCAACTTTTTTTTTCAGTTAGAAAGGTTGGTATTGATGGTTAGTAATTCTTTTTTTTTTTTTTTTTTTTGCTTTGGTTTTATTTCTAATGGAAGGAAAATGAAAGAACAAGCTATAAAGAAGAGTGTATTTTGCTTTGAAGATCTTTCATGTTTTCCTTTTTTTTTGAGACAGAGAGCGTCTCGCTCTGTCACCCAGACTGGAGTGCAGTGGCTCAATCTCAGCTCACTGTAAACCTGTTTCCTGGGCTCAAGCAATTCTCCCACCGACACTCCCAGGTAGCTGAGACTATAGGTGCCGGCCACCACTCCTGTCTAGTTTTTGTATTTTTTGTAGATGGGGTTTTGCCGTGCTGCCCAGGCTGGTCTCAAACTCACTTGAGGCATTGAGCTCAAGTGATCCACCCACCTCAGCCCCCCAAAGTGCTGGGATTACAGCGTAAGTCACTGTGCCTCACATTCTCCTTTTGATATTCAGATTAAGATATCTGAGGAAAAGACGACGGAAGGCATCAAGTTCTGCCTGTGGTTTTGCGATGCTAACCCCCAGGAGGCTGAGAAATCCTGGGTGCTGAGATCAAATACTGGGGTGAGTGCCTGAATTTTTACTTTTTATCCACCATGTGCATGGCTGGCAGAGTG